TGTCGATGGTGGTGCGCGGGGAACAATTAGTCGACGTAGACTTTTCACGAGGACTCTGTTCGATAGTATTCCATAAGGCTGCAATTGGGGAGCTAAGAACCGGCCGTTTAACCGCTATTAGTGCTCCCGGTGTGCTGGCAAGCAAATACCGGTGTTCTCACTACCGTTGGATCGAAAAACTTTCGTTCGTCGAGGAAGACCGATATTCGTCGACGAGATATTTGCGTTCTCGTCCAACCTCGACGGACATCGATCTCACAGTTTTTCCGGTAGACCTCAAAGTTCTTCATCACCCATTCGCGATCCTCGCCCAAGTGCTGGCGATCGGATAGGAAATTACGGAACAGGAAAAGGTGGGATGAGGAATGCAGCGAAAGTAACGCGCATCGATTAGCCCGTTTAAAAGCCAAAACGAAAAGATCGGACGGAATTGAGTCACGCGTACCACCAACAACAAGAGGCACTGCTAGTGCGGGACCCGAGAGTAGTCGAGAGTGCTAAAGGTATATTTCGTCGGCTGGAAGGTCTCCGGAGGAACGGAGGTACAAGAGGGAAACGGCAAAAAGAGCGTAGAGGAGAAACAGAAGCGAAGAGGAAGAGGCATAGGTTAGGAACAAAACGGAGAGAAAGAGAAAGGCTAGAGACAGGAAGGGGGCGGATAAACGGAGAGGAAAGGAGAGGGAGGGAGACAGTAGATAACGGCGGGTAGGAGCGGCAACCGGCTCGACTGGAATCCAATGGCGCAAAGCCAAGAATTTTCAGTTTTCATCAGGAATTTTCCGTCTCGAGCCAGGCTTTGCCCTGTACGCTCGCAAAAACATCGGGGAACTGGTCTGGTGGAGGACCGGAGCCAGAGAAACGAACAACGGAGACGCGGACAAAAACTGCAACCTCGGAGAAGCCGGGGAAAAATGGTTTCCAAAGTTGTCGTCCAAAGAGGAAGAAGAAGCAACAACGGGCCACGGACTTGCACTATATAGCGCGCATTTTCCTGCATGCAAAAAAGTGGTCCGTCAAAAAAATACGTCAGCGAGAAATCCATCCTCGTTCGTTTAAAAGCATGATGGAACGAGAGTGCTTGTATTTGGAGCAGGAATACACTGCTTCTCCACGCTTTTCCTCTGCCTTCTTAGTCGACCGAACCTGCGTTCTTTTCCGTTCGACGTGAGAAGCGATTCACTCGGAAAATTCAGGGCAACTCGTGACGCATTGTGCTCGGTGATCGTGCGATTCCTACCATGCAACGAGGGAACTCGAGGTGAACGACGCGCCGATTTCGAAGGTCGCTGGATTTAAGCATGATTCGAGATTCCTTGCCATGCTGGATGGAAAGATCTATGCAGGCAGAATCAAGATCGATCGCTTATAAGTTTGAAGGTATCGTTTCCTTTAATATCGTCGTGTGGAATCTTCGTCGTTTAGCAAACGTTTCCCTAAGCATTGCAAATAGAGGAGGACGATCGTCCCGGGCGACAAAGTCAAGCATAGTGATCTCGTATAATCTGGCAATTACCTCGTACGATTAAATTTACCTCCAACCTGGACGATTAATTACTCGTAGACGTTGCATTACTCCGACAGTTAACCAACAGTTGGCTTAATCCCGTTCGATTCCACGTAAACGGGCAAACAAAAAAGGGGCTTTCTCGGACTAATGATACGATACTATGACCTCGATCGGTGGATCGGTGTGCCTCTCGCCCGAAGCCCTTTAAATCGCTCCGTTTGCGAATCGCGTTCAGCGCTACTCGCTAGCAGGCAATTTAGTTCGGAAAACTCGGCTGCTACGCCAATGAGAGAGAAGTGGGACCGGTGTGACTGGTTCGCAGATGCGAGACCCTCGGTTCTCCACGCACCTCGTCGCACGTATACACGCACGCAACAGCCTGCGATCGTTCCACTCGCTCCTCGCCGCGTTTCCTCCACGTCAAGGAAATCCCGGATAACGGTCGATCTTGAGTGCCATCGATTTCGCGCGTACTTGCTTACGTCGTCCCAATATCGCGAATTCCCCACCCTCCTCTCCCCCTTTCCTTCGATTCTTATTTCGCCACTCAATCGAGAGCCGATCTTAATATCCACTAAATTTCTATCTCATGCCACGAGGCACGACCGAATAACGTTAGAAATCGCGTTAGCTCGAATCGATGGCGGCTGATTCGTAGCAGAACACGCGTCAAAAAGTGTGACGTAACGTAGTAAAAAATAGCTGGTTATTCGCGCGACGACGCATCCGCTATCCGCTCTCCTCCTCGTTCCTCCTCGCCACTGTTTTTCTCTCTTGCATTCGTGCACGAGGGCGCGCGCACAAACGCACGCGGAAAACGTGCCGGAAATCCGTGCAACAGGTGCCGCCGGCGAACTGCGAACTTCTCGCACAGTTTCGCAGAGTACCGGTACAGTTTCGGGAGCGGAGGAACAGTCGCGATAAGGAATAGTTGAACACGGTGCGTCGTGTTTTCCAATCGGGAAATCGATCGTTGGACGTGGCTCGCGTGCGGTCAGAGATGTTTCAGCGATAACGTGGCTCCGCGAGGAAGAGAAAGACGAAAAATCGGAGACTATGTAGGCAGGCGAGCATCTCCGCGTTCCTCGATGATAAATCGTCGCGCGAGGTGCCATGTATTCTCGTGTCATCGCGTCGAGACAGGCTACCGAACTCGTGAACTACTTCTTTTTCCTCCCGAAACTATGTCTTTTCCTTTTTCCTCTTTCCACCACTCGATCACAGCGTGTCTCTAAACAGATTTACGAGCGACACACCGGCCACGGTTCGTTTTAAAAATGCACTTTGTTGTTTGGAGTTTGTTGTACAAAGTTCGCTGTGGTACGCTTGGCTTCGAACAAAACAGTTAAGTTAGGTAATATGCTCTAGAATAGAGTCAGCGTTTCGTTTCGTTATCGAAAGCCTCGTTGCGAGTCGTTCGAGCCGTAGCACGAGTTTCTTCGTTCGCTCGCGTGGCGTTTGGTTAATGCGAGTCTCGTGTCACGATTAGCTGGCTCCGATGGCTTTTTCACGGCTAACGAGCAACGAGAGAAACAGAATAGCTCTGATCACTGTTTCGCCTGTACGCTGCGTCGAAGATGCTCGCCTTGTATGCTATCTATCGTTAATTGCGATACCTTCCCTGTTTTCCAATGATAATAATAATAATAATAACAATAGCAACGACGATAAAACAATCGAGCGACGTGAATCGAAAGGTTTCGACCGTGTAAGTATCCGTACGCGGAAACGATCTGGATTTTTCCCAGCCCCGATTGTCCTAGCCTGTTCGTTGTTTCTCCCGTTCGTCGGAGGGGAAACGCGAGTTCGTTACGCTCGTAAAACCTGCTGGTGCTCGTTACTTTTCCGGCAATCCGTCAAAACAGCGGCGTGCCAACAACAACCACCGGTCCTGACGTCGAGACCGTTTAGATCGCTCGGTCACGTTCGACCACTCTCCACCGAGGAAAAAATGCTGTGAAGGGGATACAAAGGAAACCTTCGGAGCAGTGGGCTCTCTAAGCACGCAGCCACACAGGCACGTAGGCACGCAGCAGTGCGGAGATACGCGCGCTACGTACATTACGCATACACACGGCTCGTACGCGATGCGTGTTGCGCGTAGTAACGCGCACAGAGGACACGTGATACGCTCTCCAATGTATCCCACGCTCCTTCGCTGTTGGGAGTTGGAAGACGACGTCAAGTCCCTCGATGTACGCGCACATACCATGGACGTGTGTACAAAAGTACGTTGTTTTACGGAAGGATGAGCTGCGAATCCCGTGCCGCGCGTCACGACGTCGCGTTTCACGTTCGACGGAAGTTTCGATGAGACCGAGAGGCGATCGAGAGGCGACGGTGTTATAGAATAAAGCAATCATGGAAAGATAAACGAGGCGGGAAATGTGGTAAGCAATACCACCAGGCGTAAGAAACCTAGCATGGTGCGACACCTTATCGCAGGTCGAATGAAAGCCACTGTTATCGCTCTGGCTCAACATGCCCAGACTTTGACTCCTGCTTAAGAACACTAGAGCAGAGATTTTCTCTTTCAAGTGGATCGCTCAACACTATTTAATTGTCCTGACTTTCTTATCGAAGTATCTCCATCTATATTTCCCTTCGTTTAGATCGCGCATCCTGTTGACTGTTTTTTTCCAAGACCTCTCTCTCTCTTTCTCTCTCTCGTCTTTCTCTCTTGCTCTCTCGTTCTTCATATGTGTAGAAACGAAATAGAAACTATAATTCGCGGAGGACAGAGAGGTGGAAACGGGAATTGATAGTAGATAGTAGAGTAGGTCGTCTTTTCGCGGAAACGTGACCTTCTTTCCCCCGTCTTGTCGCGTCGAGCTCGCCGCGGTAAGACGCATTTCGAGCCAGTTACGTATACTACCGTGTCTCGTTTTTGTCGCGCCTACGGCTACCGAGTTTACGTAGAAAGAGCATCGATCGAACAACGCCAATCAAAGAGAATTTTGACGGTGTTCTGTGTGGAAGCTGTTCTGGTATCTGGCGTACCGTGACGCGAACAGGGTTAAATTTAGCTTCGATCTTCTCTTAGGAAACGTTGAACCCAAGACCTTTCCGTCCTCTTCTCTCGTTCTGGTCCGTTCGGCGTTCCTGCCGTCTGTTGGTTCGGTTGGCCGGTCGCTTTCGCTCCGCGGCCCTCCGTGGCCCTCCGGTCGCCCTAGGGGTCCGTCGCGGTTCGTCTACAAATATAGGCTGTAACCAGGGTCCGTGATTTGCGCGGTTTTCGTTCCAAAACAGCAGCCACTGTTATTTCTACCGAGTAACAGAACGTCCTGACCACTGCGATATCCGGTCTCTAGACGAGTTTTAACGAGGTGGCACGTGTTCTTTCTTATCGGCCTCGCGTCCCCCCGTTCCACCTTCCCTTCGGTTCTCCGGCCATAGTTTACATTTCTTTCTCATTTCGTAAACGACAGTTTCGACTACGGTCGGCGCGCGTGTAGACGATTCGCCGCCCCCCACTGCATCTCATTTCTGACACGTTCGCCGCGCGCTCCATTTTTTCCGCCCTCGTCTTGGTTCGTCGTTTAACGCCACGTCGAACTGCACACAGTATGTGGCGCTCGTTTGCCAAGACAGTATCCAGGAATGCTCTTGACGTCGTACGTGCGATAAGCGCTCTCTCAGCCTCTCCGAACTCGAGGAGAGAAAAAAAAAGTTTTTGTCGCCGATCCGGC